CACAATTTTTCCACGTCTGACGACGACCGGTTGGTCCTTGTCGAAAATTCACGCAATAAAACTGAGCATTTCCCAAAGAAAGTCTTCTTCTCATAAGTAAATGTCTTGTTTATTTGACCTGAATTCACGCGCTTGTAATTTGCGTAATTGTCTTGTCTGTTTTTTACGACAGCTACATTAACTTGTGTTTTACATTAAGCTTAATAACCTTCCCAATCCTAACTCCAACTCCTGTACATCTTGATTTATTACTTTTTTACGGTAGAAGAGACAGCCAATCAAGAAGTTGTCTTTCTAATTAACTGTATTTTGATGCATGGATTATCATTGAGGTACCTACACGTGGAACCCAGTCACCTAACTAATATAATCCGACTCTTGGAAAATTATATTTGCAGCACGGAAGCTATTTTACTTTCTATTACTCTCGGAAAACTTCATCGATGAAACCTTACACGTTTACCCTTCATTTTTTAGATAATATGAGCACTTTTTTGCTATTTTATGTTCATTGTTGGAACTCTTGATTGTAAATTGTGCACCATTACCACGGTTTCATGTGTTGTGCTACTCGTGGCTTTAAAAATGTAAACTCGCTCTACGGTTTTTATAGAGTTTCCGAACTACTTGATATGTATATCGTATGAAGAGAATTGCACAAAAAAATCATCAGAACCCACAGTTATAGCCCTTTTGTATGCATTCGCCCTTATAGCCCTTGATCATTTGCTTGCGGTTGCAAATCCGAAGTTCACAACAACAACATTGTTTTATCCAACCAGGGTCATTTTTAGCCTTATCGTTTATCTGAAGCATAGTGTTCCCGGTGAGAACTTGAAGATAGTAAGCAATGCAAAATTTAATGGAATCATAAATTTCATGAGAGCTCTCCATTTGCAACCACTCATTGCGTTGAAGGATCAAGAATTGGAAAAATACGAAATTGAATTTGTACAGAAAGTTCATAGGTCCTAGTCACATACAGGATCCTTCAACGCAATGGGTGGATGCAACTGAAGAGCTCTCATGAAATTTATGGTTACATTAAGTTTTGCATTGATTACTATCTTCAAAATATCGTTTATCGTTTGTTGGTCTATCACCAATCGCTAATAGAAACCCTATTCAGAGTCTGGCTTTCGGACGAAACTTTGCTTTAAAAAGTTGGAAATGTTTTCATCGAGCTAGAGGTAGCATATTTTTATGCTGCTATGAAGTTTTTTGCCTTTTTACCGTCGGGTCTCAATTATCTCAGGAGGGAACCGCCCTCTCTTGCGTTATTCCATGCATGTCTTTCCTACCAACGATTTGTCAATCATTTATCTCCTCGCAACGTTAAATTACTTCGCTAGTCCACAATATTACCAGTTTTTGCTACTCCCATAAGCCGACGTTTGTCTAAAAGTTATTTACCAGGAGTATTATTTTCTTCTCTTTTGTTTCCCGTGAAACTGCTTTAGGCAAACAAAATCAGGGAGTTGTTGAAGGTTTTGCTATGCACTGGTAAGGTCAGATACAGAATTCCCTCAAAGCCACTTCGTCTTAACGATCCCATTAAAAAGGGCTCACAGGGAGAGTGGAGGGCGGTTTCTGTGGCACAGGGTATATCTATCAAACGGTTCGCAACCTTACTCCTCCAGATGACAGAAGAACACAGTTCGCATTAAGCGTAAACTCTACTCCGCCGAGGAAGTGACTTTCAGCTGTGCCCTTTGTTTGTCCTCGCGGCGCCTAAGTGGCAGACCAAGTTCCTTGCGAGTAATGCATACTTTGTTGTAGGGATTTGCGAAACTCTTTTACCGTACAAGGTTCGCACAAAAGCGGACAGTTTTCATTGACAGAGAGGGGATAAATAAAACGCTTTATTTTGAAGGTAGCTTTTAAGCCTATTTTTCAAACTAAGTGATTATGTGTTTGTTTTGGGTAGGCGCAATTAAGCTTTCCTTGCCTTTAATTACTTGATCGATATTGGCTATAGCCGCCTCTACTTGTTCCTCAGCATGTTGTGTGTTTGTGTGACGTCTAACGCGGCGTCTCGCTCTTGGTTCAAGGAAGTCGAGGTTGATAGTATTGCCGGCAAAGACAAGGGAGACTGAAATGGCTACTTTTGGCTTAGTAGCCGCCGTCAGCTAACCATACGTAAACCCCAGTGATGAACCACCCAAGACTCGAACTCGCGACCTTTTGCTCTAAGTCTAACACCCTAAGCATTGAGCCACGAGCTTGTTGTCTTGCTCGGTGTGCGCTCGGAGTTACTGGCATCCGTTCATGAACTTTCGCTGAACGCTAATGAAACTTAATTGTCCCGCTTCGCGTCCTGTCGGCAGCTGTAGCAGCTAGTTGTCTAGGCAGATAGTATTGCCGACAATGACAAGAGAGATTGAAATGGCCATTTGTGGCTTAGTAGCCGTCGTCAGCCAGTCATACCCAGACCCAAGTAATGCATCATACGGCAAAGTCGGAGCGGGACAATTGAGTTCCGTTAGGGGTCGGTGGAAGTTCATCAACCAGAAGTCGAGGTTCTTTCTTGTTAAGCAACGTATTTTCGTGAACCTGTCCTGCGTCTTATCTTTCGTATGGCTACCTGAGCTAGAATGGTTTCTCTATCCACTTCTAGCTGGTGTTAATGTGTGTGGATATAAAAGATTTCACAGCAACATAGGGGATATAAATATTGCATTTCCCTTGCGAAAAGTGGGTTTTAATTAGCCTTAGTAGGCTGTTTACAAAGCAAATTTTGTGGTAGATATAATATCTGATCTCCAAATTTACGGGTCTTCCATATATGTACAATATATGCTGAATGGCATAACTCACAAAGGTAAGAGAGGCTTAAATGGCCGTTTCTGACCTAGTAACCGTCATCGGCCGGCCATAACTACTTCCAGAAGACTAACATAGAAGGCCAACTCTCTAACCACTGCGCAACGGGCTCGCCGTCTTCTCGATTTTGATCGGGAATATATACATTGGTAAATCGGTGCTCATCGATCGGATGCAGGACTGGCTCGTCCCGTTGTACCTCGGGGCTCACTCTCGAGTCCCGCTAACAGCCTCGCAGCCGCTACCAATACAGACAGAATGCCAATAGGGACTGGAAGAACCATTTTGTGCTCATTACCCGTCATCAGCTAGCCATACCAAGTCTCAGGTGGTGCCCAGCCGAGGCTTGAACTCGTGGCCTGTTGATTAGAAATTCAACGCCTTATATTACTTACCGGTATACAGCTGTTGTTGATGCTCAAATGTGACTCCTAAGGAACACTTGGGCATGATCGATCAGTGTCCCTGTAAAAGTGCTAACGCTTATCATCCCTGCACGATACTATTAAAGGCATAAACGTTACACGTTCCCATGTGAATTGAGGGAAGCTGTCATCTCAGAGTGAGGCCTTGTAGCCTAAATACCCTAGTAGCACCTATTCGACTATAAGTCGACTATGAGTAGCTATTTCTAGACGTTCACAATGTTGTGAACTAATTGGTTAACCAAATGACGCTATCTGAAATCTGATTGTTTTGTGCAGTTGAAGCGCACTCCCCTACACGCCTATTCGACTATTATGCGACTATTTTTGGCCAAACTAGACGACTATTAGTCGACGTTACTGACTAGGAATAGTCGTTAAAGTCGTTTAGTCGTTAAATAAGCGAGAATTGCTACTAGGGCATGCGTCCTGATCGACACAGAAGTTGCTCGTCTGTTTTCCGCCGGGTTTTTTATGCGTCGAATAAGCTTCCGGGTGCGTTTGCTTGCGTTTACTAGTGGACTTACGCATTCAATCAAAAACTAAACCTCACTCTATCTCCCCTCTCAGGTGTCTCAGTTGTCAGATCAACAGAAGTGCGATTGAGCGCAGTGACTGACGTGAGGTGGAATTGGCACTCCCCGTGAGTCAATCACCAAAGCATAAACACGAACTAGCTTGTATTCGCTGAACGTTAGTCTTTTGAGAGAACCGGCGGTGTTAGCCTGTCACATATTTTTGGACGTCCTACAACCAGCTGACAGTTCGACCGTCGCTCTTGAATATGTCCACCAGGAGCTTCAGCAAACTGAAGGCAAACGCGGTGACTGGCAGGTTGATTATAGTGAAAGTAAGCAGACGCAGGATCTGCCTCACTTTTTGATCACTCCCACGCCTGTAACCGATGTCAAGCCAAAAGTCGAAAAGATCGGAGAGAAAGGAAGGCGCAGGCGGTTGGCGCGACCAACACTCTAATACGCGCCACAACAACAGCAATTTGCTAGGTAGGCTCCCGCCTGGGCGCGAGCGCCATTGAAGCTTGACTCTCAGTCCGGCAGTCAGCCACTCCACACAACAAGCCACGCCCTGGACTGGCTGCGTGGAATGAGTTATCCCGTCAGTTGACAACCTCCCAAGCCACGACTTTTAGCGACACTGGTTGAACGGTGTAGTTTTATGGATGCTCAGTGACAGAAATTTGGATTTATCATGATATTTTTCTTGGGTGCGGTCGAGGTAACGTGGTTTTTTACGTCCTCTGGGCGTCTAAGCAGTAGGAGGTAAAAGCGCGATAAAAATGCTCACTCTATGTACTATGGCTGTTACGTTCTAAAGTGTATAAATCAGACCATTTTCAGTTGTCGGAGATGATTTAATCATCGCTCTTCACCGTTTCTAAGGGTTTTTGTGTGCATGCAGACGTGACGCTTTCGCCAACTCTGCCTACGACGACCAGTCTGAAAGGGCGGATAGTAGATGCTGTCGCCGACCCTGTGCACGCCCTTTTTGCTAATTGATTTCAGGCGGCGTGGATTTTGCGCATAATCAGCATACATCTAAAAATTAGCCAATCATTTTATTTTCATCCGAAAGTAATGAGCGGAATTGGGGTAAATGGTTCAAATGAAGACTTTTTGAATTTGGTACCGTCACGTTTTTTGAATGTTTAGGCTTAACGCCGCTTCATGCAGGGGCTCACAATAGGCACAGCAGGTTTGAGGGTTGTGAGCGTAGAATACAACAGTAACGGCCTTTTCAGTTATCAGGTCACGGGATATCGTCTTCCTGTCGCGCAGTCGAGCTCGATCTACAGCCCTATTACGCATGCGCAAATAGACCGGAGTGTCGGTTTCGCCAAGGTCCATCGCGATGACTTGTGAATTGAATCGTGATATTAGACTTGCACCGCGTCTAACACACTCCATCTTCCCTCATCCCCCTTGCGGCCGGAGTTAGAGCAAATTCAAAAACACCGGAGGTGGGATCAAGCGCAGGTGGCTAACGCGGTCGAAGCCGCCTCTATACGTTCCACTGCGTCCACCATGTTGTTATCGGCGCGCACACCGAATACTGCCTTCCGGACCTTGCTCTGGCTCCTTTATTGATCTAGCACATCTACAGCACGGCACATAAGTCGTGTCGTGAGGTTTACTGAATATTAATAATCGCTTGCAAACCGGCATTAACGCATGTGCAAAACTTGGAAATAATAATAAATAACCTTCGGCAAAATTTTTGCTTAAAAGAAATATAAAAATAACTTTTCTTACTAACAGTTAAGTTCATTTAGACGTAAAATACCTATTGATGAGAACAATAAATTTAAATATTTCCTTAAGTTAAATGAATAACCGTACCGCTTTCATTATACAAAAAGAACTTTTCCTGAGTCAAAATACGTAAACATATTAACGTTATTTAATTACAATTACTTACAAAATTGACCTTTTAATTCCGATAAATTTTCGACCATTTTCTGTTTTTCAAGATTTGTTTCGTAAACATAGATTCTGTTCGGTGTTTATATTAAAAACGTTAAAAATAGCAGATCTATTAAAAGCATTTATCGAACAATGAGTTCTTGTATATTAATATTTAGCAGATGGCCATGTTTAAAAATTCCTCCGAACATCAAAACACATTTTCGAGCAAATAGGATGTCCGCAACCGAACTCTGTTACTGTTCTTCCTAAGATCAACTCTGTAAAATATGTGTCTTCTTTAAAAAGCACTTGAATTATACATTTCGCTGATGAATAGCTCTTCATGTTACCATTTCCCAAGGTAAGGTTAAAATAAAAATGGAGATTTTGACAAGGTTTTTTTTAAATATACCTGGAGCTAGACGGTACAATGTGGGTAGAAATTAAAGAAATCGCTTTTCTCTTTATAGTGGAGTATTTTTTACTATATTAGGTTACTTCCACGCTTTGATCTATGTTTGCAAATGCAAAAAGTATCACCGAATTTCTACTTAATTATTGGAATAATTATTAATCTTCTGTTCTACGCAAAAGCGGAACTTATGCTGTACAAAAAATATATTTCTGCACAATTTATGATTTAATAGAATCTGCTTTTACCTTCGCCTTCACAACAATATATGGGCAGTTCTGATTACATTCCAGATACTTAATGCGGTCAAAACCTGCATTTTCTGACAAACCTTTCAGATTTTAGCAAAAATAATTTTTTAAGCTCAAATTGTTCCTTTTTTCTGGAAGTTAATGCAATTCCTTAACATTGGCTTGACTTGGAGTTTTTAACTTCGTACCAAATTTTCTGTTTCCGGAAGGGATGTGCTTTAAAGTTTTCGTACTTATTTTGGGGTACTCCCATAGTATAATGCATATTTTAAAAAAAATTGGTTATGTCATACGTAACAGTGTAGAAAATTACTTCCATGTCAGATTTCCCCCGATTTAACGAAAATTTATACCCATTACCCTTAATTAACTTAATCAAAAGGGGCAGTTTCCCTAAATAAAAGGCTTTCTTGGAATTAAATCCACTCAGTGCATGAAAATAGCGTGACCAAATATATGCTGAACTACCAATTTAAATTTCGTCATGACTTTTGCATGAATTAGTTCATATATTGTACGACGCAACCCGTTTAGTGAACAGAAAATGAATACTGGTAAAGACACAATAGTCTAATATTCTTTTTATAACGTATTCACGATCATCAATTAGCCTAACCCGAGTCCACGTTTTTTTTAAATACGCATTTGCGGGCTTTTGAATGTGAGTCACCATTTGTTTCTTCCCTCCATTCGCGAGTTATTTTATATATACATCGATTGACCCATTTCACCCATTAGAAGTTGAGCTGTAACTCACATTGTTTATTTGAACTATAAGAATGAGGTCATCAGCACACGACGTCAGCGGTGATTTGAAGGAAGTTCAATTTGACCTACATTTTGCATCATATTTAAGGACATTTCGCCACGATGTCGACACTTGCAGTTGTTGGCCAATACACATTGAGTCTGATCCCCGGTGTTGCGTGTCTTCTGTGCCTTATTTTAGTCATGGTGAATGGAGGACATTTTTGCTGAAACTTTTGGAATGATATTTTCAAATGAAAGCGTATCTCCCTCTCATAAACCTTTCTCTGCCCTATCGTCCATTTGGAAGATTTTGAACGAACTAAGATATATGGGCATCTTTAAATGTTTTAAACTTACAAAAAAAGATAAATGCACATAGTTACTTACTTTTCCCATCGCTCCTTTTCTTCATAACCAGATTTTTTGGCGGTTTAATTAATGGTTACTTTAATGGCGGCGTTAGCTAAAGTGAGCACGCACTTTTTTTAACTTAATGCCCGAAGACAACGGGTATTTAAAAAATGCTTTCGTTGCCTATATCACTAGCCGCAGTGCGACTGCTGGCGAGGCTTGAGACAAACGGTATCTCTCTGCCCGTTCAAGGATTTTTAAGATACTTTCTCCGAACCGAGCAAGTGCCAGTGACTTAATGGTTAGGACTTTGGATTACAAACCAACAGGCCATGGTTTCGAACCTCAAGTGTTACATCATCTGCAGCTGGTTTTTGCCGGATGATGACAGCTAATAAGTTAGAGATGGTCATTCCACTCTCCTTTCACCTTGTCGCTAATGCTATTCTGCCTATTGGCGGGGCTCGAGATTACGTACCAAACTGGAACATAATGATTGTATCCTACCAATGAGCTCAAACCAAACATAAGCATAACTTTATATCTTAAAATGTCTCCGATACTGAACGCTCAGGTCTTATAGCTATGCTAAAATGACTCAATATAACGCCAGACCGTAATTAATTCTGTTAGTCAGCCAATTTGCTCGTCCTCTCCAGTTAGTTTCTAAACCAACTTCCTAATCTGTCCTCTCTTTCCCTTCCAACAGGCCTCAAGTTTTTCGAGACATCAGCCAAGGAGAATATCAACGTGAAGTCAGTATTCGAACTGCTGGTCGACATGATCTTGGAAAAGATGGCTGAGGGCATGGATCACGATGCGGCCATGACCGGCGGAACTGCTGGAGGTATGCTCCTCTCATATTTAGCCCCCTTGTCAGAGCTTCTGTCGTACAGTTCGATGGAAGAAAAATTTTTGGGATGACACAGCAAACTTTAGCATGTTCGTTTTCGATACTGGCTGATTAGGTCGTCCTCAGATGCCTAGTGGTTGCACAGTGAACAACTCGAATTGCCAACCTGCCTGAAAAAAAGCAATAATACCAAGTTATTTTGGCTAGAAGCCAGTCTCTG